ACATACATCTAGTCCTAATTCAAATTTTCAAAGTATATTGGCAATTAAAGAATGTTCTGAAAAGAATAAATACTACATATTGGACACTACACAGTGGGTATCTTCAATAAAATGTTCAAGGCAATAGCACTCACTGGATTAAAATAATTTTTCTTCTAAGTATTCACTTTTATGTCGATGTCCATAGAAATGAGGTATTTATGCATGTTTCTGAAGTATAATACACAATAACCACACAATAAATGTGACTTTAATATAAACTTATTATCACTACGGAGCACCTTTATTTCTTTGTGGTGCTGGGGGTAACACCCAGGGCCTTGCACATGTTAGGCAAGGGTCCTACCATTGGGCTACACCCCCAGTCTAGGAGTTACCCAAGATTCCCTCATGGGGCATGGTGGCATGTAATTCCAGCACTCAGGAGGCTGAGGCAGAAGAATCTCAAACTTGAGTCCAGACTGGGATACATAACAAGATTCTATGCCCAAAACAAAACAAAACAAAGTAAAATGAAAACCAAATCAAATCAAATAACAAAAAGACCCCCTGAAAAAAGGTCATGAATCTTATATTAAACATAAAAATATTATTAAATAATATAAAAATGTTATACAAGTTATGCTTACGTACATTTCTAAGAATAAATCTGGTATCAAACTCTTGTATTAAAACTAGAATCATGGAAGACCTGGGGAATTATTTTAGTGAAAAATTCACTAGTCTGTTGTGGTGGTGCACACCCACAATCCCAGCTTCTCAGGAGGCAGGGGCAGGAAAACCAGGAATTACAAAACTGCTGTTTCCAGTGCTAACAATAGTACCCAATGCCTGTCTGAGTTGCGTTTTTAACCTGAAGGCTTTTTCTTGGGGAGGGGAACTGTGTGGTTTGAACTCACGTCCCTTGGTTGCTTCTCATGTTAATTGCCCGGGGTTGACCTCAGACCTCAATCCTCCTATCCCCGATTCAAGTGCAGACCACCACACTCAGTATATTTGAGATGAGGTCTAGTTAACTTTTTGCCTGGGGCGGTCCTGAGCTTTGATGCTCTTGATATCCACTTCCAGAACAGATGGGATTATAAACAAGTGACCATACTCAGTCACGAGACTTGCTTTTATTTTTTATTTTGGCAGTACTGAGTTTGAATTCAGGGCCTTCGGCATGCTAGGCAAGTGCTCTACTACTTGAGTCATACCTCCAGCAAGACTTTTTTCCCCCAGTGGTATTGGGTTTTCAACTCAGGGCTTCCTGGGGTGGTTGCAGAGAGGCTCCAAGGCTTGCTTTTTAATGAAAACAACCCAACAGTCTAAGCATTGCTCAGTTTATGAAGAGGTCGTGTCCCGATAGGTCTTTATTATCTGTGGTTACCTGTTGTTCAGTCTCCAGTATTTTAATAGGGGCCGTATTTCTGGATGGTCACTGAAGTCATGCTGGTCAGCATTCTTAGTGATCATACAGGCAAGGATCAAAAGAAAAAGGAATTTTGTATTTGCTGGATCCAAAATTGATCTTAGGCCAAGTTTAACTCTGAGGTTTTACCTCTTTTCCTGATACTGTTTCTCAACACAATTACCTAGTGCCATCAGGATGCCCTATTCCTTGTGCCAAAGCCTATTCTACCTTTTGCAGAACTTTTCCCTTCAAAGTTACTTCCTTCCATCTCTTTTGATGAACAGGATCTCAGCTAGGTGTTTGACTAGTTTTAACTACACCAACTTCTAAGATGCATTCAAGTTTCTTTCTTTTCTTCTCTTTCCCCATTTACAATACAGACCAGGCACAGGGTTGAGGTATCTATGGAATAGATTTTCTTTGCTTCCTTTTTCTATAGTCAGTATAAGAACAAAGCCAGTGGTGTGCACCAGGGGGTCAACGTTCAAGTTTCTTGAAGTTACTGCCTGACCAAAAATGAGTTGGTGAAATTTCAGATTAATATACCCACAGGAATCTCGTCTAGTCCCATAGTGAGCAATACTAGCCTTCCTCAATTTTTTCTTGTAGTTTTTTTCTTTTGTCTTTTTTCTAGTACTGGGGATTGAACCCTACCACTTGAGCCACATCCCAGTCCCCCCCACCCTTTTATTTTTTTTGGTACTAGGGTTAGAACCCAGGGCCTCATGCAGGCTAGACAAACATTTAACCACTGAGCTACACCCCAGCCACTCTTTTAGGTTTTTTGAGATCAGTCATTCTTGATCTTCCTGAGTGCTGGGACTACAGTCTTCAGCATATACAATCTTGTTAAACTGGAGTCCATAAACTGTATTTCCCCCCTTTTCCCTGGTCTCTATGGCTCTTTAACCAATTTTTTAGGGAGCCCAAGCTCCCTAGCTACATGCTAGGCCATTGCCCTACCATTTTGAAGCATGCCTCTAGCTCAGTTTTTTAATTCTATCTTTTTTTATGGTGCTGGGGATGAGACTCAGTGTTTCAAATGCTAGGCAAACACTCTACCACTGTGTTACATCCCTGTTTTCTTTCCTTTTTTTTTTTGAGACAGGGTCTCCCTATAGTCTAACATGGCCTGGAACTTGCTATGTAGTCCAGGATGGCCTCAAACTTGTGATCCTCTTGCCTTAGCCTCTCAAGTGCTTGGATTACAGATGTGTGACACCATGCCTGGCTGCAGTATCAGTTTTCTGCAGTCAACCACATTTTGAAAATATTAAATGGAAAATTCCAGAAATAAATATCACATAAGTGTTAAAATTGTGCTTTGTTCTGAGTGATGAAACTTTGTGCCATTTGGGATATGAAACATCCTTTGTCTGGTGTACCTGTGCTGTATGTGCTACCTACCTATTAGTAACTTAGTAGCCATCTTGGTTATCAGATGATTGTCACAGTACTACAATGTTATGTTCAAGTAACCATTTTTTACTTAATGGCCCCAAAGCACAAGAATATAATGCTTGCAATTTTATTACAGTATATTATTATGAATTTTCTATCTTTTTTTAAAATTTTTTTTATTTTGGATTTTGACACAAAATTATTGTGGTTTGTAGCCATGGCTGGAATTCTGCTTCAGTCTCCCAGTGTAAGAAAGGTAAACTGAGATTCTTAAAGCACACTGTGAAGCTATATGCACTTACAGCTAACAACAAATTTCTGAATCAAGCTTCTAGTGAAGTTAAAATATGCAAAGTGTTGTGATTACAGGCGTGTGTTACTATGCCCAGATAATTTTTCTATTTTATTAGTTAACAGTTGTTAATCTCTTAATGTGCCTAATTTATAAATTAAACTTTATTTTTTTGAGGTAAAGAGCTTGAACTCAAGGGCCTTCACCTTGAGCCATTCCACCAGCCCTATTTTTGTGAAGTGTTTTTCGAGATAAGGTCTCACAGAAATATTTGCCTGGGCTGGCTTTGAACCACAATCCTTCTGATCTCCGCCTCCTGAGTAGTGAAGATTACAGGTGTGAGGCACCAGTGCCTGGCTAAACTTTATCTTAGGTATGGGTGTATAGGAAAAAAACATAGTACATATAAGTTTGGAGTTCAATACTACTTATGGTTTCAGGCAACTATTGTGGGGCCTTGGAACATACCCCCCTTTGGATAAGGAAGGGCCTACTGCATGTCAGACATAAAATTGGAATAATGTCAATTTATGAGGAGAGTTAGGACTCAAGAATATTTAGGAGAAGGAGGTAAGAATTTCATTTCTTTGTTGTTGTTGTTGGTATGGAGTTTGAATTTAGGGCTTCATGCTTGCAAAGCAGGCATTCTACCTCTTGAGCCACACCTCCAGTCCATTTTGCTCTGGTTACTTTAGAGATGGGGTCTAGAGAAATATTTGCTTTGGCTGGCCTTGGACCTCAATCCTCCTGATCTCAGCTTTCCAAGTAGTTAGGACTACAGGTGTGATCCACTGGCACCTGGCTAGCACTTAAGTCTTTTATGAAGCAGTAACACTGTCACTATGTGTCACTATGTGGAAATATTAAAATGCTGTAACTTTTTTTTTTTTTTGTGGGACTGGGGTTTGAACTCAGGACTTTGTGCTTGCAAAGCAGGTTCTCTACCACTTGAGTCATACCTCCAAGTCCATCTTGCTCTGGTTATTTTGAAGATGGGGTCTTGTGAACTATTTGCTTTGCCTGGACTTGAACCCCAATCCTCCCAATCTCAGCCTCCTAAGTAGCTAGGATTATAGGTGTGAGCCACCAGTGCCTGACTAAATGGCTACAACTTTTAAAGTTAAGTAATATAGCCACAGAAAACTGCTTTAGATCCTGGTTTTATTGTAACCAATTAATTGTGGTGAAGACTGAACTCAGGGCCTTGTGTATGCTAGGCAAGCACTCTATTTCTGAGCTACATTTACAGCCTCAATGTTCTGATTTTAGTTACAGAAAATTATTTTAAAAAATAATGCCCTCCAGGCCAGGTATGGAAATAAATATCTGTAATCCCAGCATAGGGAGGCTGAGCAGAAAAATCCCAAATTGGAGGCCAGCCTGGGCTACAGGCTATATATTCAGACCCTGTTTCAAGAAAAAAAAAAAAAAAACAAACCAAACCAAACCAATCCAATACCCCCAAAAGGTCTCTGACATCTTATTTGTTAATTTAGAGAATAAGCATTGAGAGATGACAACTTGTTTCATCTTACTTTGGTACATGTTTTGGTATTGGTGGTGAAAAACTTAACAGCCCAAAGACAGAAAATTGAACACATTTGTGTATAATAACAAAACCACCACCAATAAGACTGATGATAGGTAAAGCAAACAAGACCGTGCAGTTCGTCCTTTCTTTAAAAAGTTGCTTGATAAAAATGCTGTTACAGAGAATAATATCAACTATATAATAGTCATCTTTCAAATCTAACCAACATGCATAAGCATTAAGGATATTTTAACAGTATCATGAAGATAAACACATGGAAAACAAAACTCAAGTTTCATTAAAGGTGCAGTACCCATAATAAAAGGTTGATTAAACAATGCCTTGTAATTTGATGATAAAATGACCAAATGAATGGGAATCATCGTGCTTTAAGATCAAACATGTTTCATTCAAACAGATGGTTTTTTTATTGTAAGCTGAGATTCTAAAGCACATCCTGAAGATAGATGCATTTACAACTAACAACACATTTCTGAGTTAGGCTTCTAGTCATGGCAAAATATGGAAGTGACATGCTTAAAAAAAATCACTCAAGGTAAGGGTGAAACATTCACTCCAATGTGGAATGTCTTAATGCAAAGTTTGTTTTCATGGAACCCAAAATAAAGCCTGTTTGGGTATGTTCACATGAACCAGTTCTCCTTTCCAGGACTTATTCTCAATGAATGATGGATGGAGTACAGCAGACTATGTGGCTGAATATCACTTTCTATACATATACTTTTCCTTAGCCCCACTTTAAAAGGAAGTCACTTTGTTGACACTAATCACTAACATTTCAGGTGATAAACTAATGGAAATGTCATTTTCTCAGCTACAAAGTCCAAAAATCATAAACTCAAGTTAGTCAAATGTAGTTTTCACATACATAAGTAGCAATGCAGCCCCTAAGAATAAAATCATACCACATGACACAGGTGTAACGCCAGTTCAGAAGACCTGACAGACACTAGACAAAGGAGGATGTCATACAGAAAGGAGTCCATGGAGTTCCATCTAGCATGTCCATTCTAATTTCTTGGGTTTTGCCAATCCCAGAAGCCATGTTCTGTTTAACATGAATCAGTAAGAACTTCTTGCAAGACATGACACATGCTTCCATAATTAGTCTGTTTAAAGAAAATACACTGAAAATCCAATAAATGTTCAAACATATTCAGAACTCATGATATTTAACTAGGTAGGACTATAGAAAGTATAAAAAGAAAAAAGTTGAACATGAAAAGAAACTGGAATGTTCTTTAAAGATTTTTCCATTAACGAGCAGATAACTTTGGATTTGTAATACTAATCTGTTTTTCATATAAGAGTATCGCGATTTCCTCAGATGTAAGGATATCAGAATGATCTTCAGAAAATCAGACTGGTAAAGAGCAAGAGGACCTAACATACTGTGAAAGATGTAAAACTAAGAACACATGTGCCTAAAATGGCACATACAAAAACAAAAAGGCTGACAACGCCAGGTGCAAAAATATTAGTAAGCACAAGAGAAGAAAACAGCAAGGCATTAAGTACCATCTAGATTTTCAACATACAAAAAGACATTTAAAAGAATACTGATCGGATAAAAAATTTAGTTTAAAAGCAATAGCTAAGCTATAGTAGAACATATGACAAGTAGATATAACTTTGGCTTTGAAGCAATAGGATCTGGACTCTTATCTAAAGTTCACCATATAAAAGTGAACCTTTTTACACCCTATGATGATACCACCTCTGTTCTTAATTACAAAGGACAAAGCCTTCTGGAAAAGGTCTTCCTTATCATCTATTACCTCAAATGCCATTTACCTAATTAATCACTATACAGACAAGAGACACAAAATTATGGATAATTTCAAATTCAAGACCAAGATTATACACGTATATTTCCAAATCTACGTTATTCAGTTAAGATCATGGCAAATGTTACTACCAAACCCCAAATTACTCTAGAACTCAAAGCACGCATTTCCAGGAATGAGACACTATGGTGGGGTGTTATGAAGAAAGACTCATTTTGAATCTGAGGAATCAGGTAGACCCTTCATGACTTCTCTCTGTCCAAGGTCCAGTCATACAGAATTCTGCAATGTTCAATCATTTCAACAGAACCAGGAAATATAGTTGCCTCACAACTCTATAAGCTAAAATGACATAATTTGAATTACCCTAATTTGAAGCTCATGAGAGTTTTGTAACAAAAATTCCTTTCCTGATGATTTTTCTTTGTGAAGTGACTATCAAGGACTAGTGAGAATGAATGTTTTTAGTTAAAAAAAGAAAACTTTCAGCACCTGTCATCACACCAGACCATGCTTTATCTCCCACCACCCTGCCCAGCACTTCACCCTCTGTAGTACCTGTGGTGCTGCCGTGACTAGTTACCTGTTTTGAGGCTGGGCCTGAACTCTTGGCTAGTGCTGGGAGGTGGGAAGGCCTCAGGGGTTGTCTGTCCTGGCAGGGTTCCATATGGAGGAGGAGTCAACTCTTCGTCACCAGAGAAGCTCCTCCGCACCCCGCCTGTCATGGGCAGGCTCGACAAAATGACAGGCTTCTTCCCAACTGGCATCTTCCTCTCTAAACATCAAGTCAGACTGAAGTAAGCTTTGACTTTTGTGTGTGGTAAGAAAAGTGCATTGCTTAATTAGGAAGGCTGAGCTGCATTGGACACTCTAGCAAAGAGATCTGACTATGAGAGAGAGTGTGAGAGTGTATAAGTGGGTGAGGGATATTCTATTTTCTCAGATAGTCCTGGTCATGACTCAAATGCATTTAAAACAAAAACAAAACAAAGCAGAACGAACTGCAGAGAGCATTTAGTGTAGAAAGCAGTTGGCTAATTTCAAGAAAAATCTCAGCTTAGAGCACGGTGTAAAACCAATGAGATTGATTTTTTTATTGGGTGTAGTGCTGGGGACCAGCAGGACTTCACTCGTGATAGTCAGTGCTCTTTCATGAGCTACACATCTATCCTGAGACAAAATTCTAAAGTACTACTTTTAGGGTAGCATTTCATTCCCTGCGTAAGTCTAAGCACTGGCCTTTAAGGAGAAATCAAACTTTTTTTTTTTTTCCTGAGGGCAGTGTTTCTCTTTATTTTAGGAATGGGAGTGACTGAATTTATAAAAAAATGCCACGTAGCAATTCAGGGTGGAAAACTAAAATAGTTCTAAATGTATTATCTGGTTGGCAGGATTTTCTTGATATATATTCTTTCAGAAAGCACTTATAATTCTTTTTTTTGCAGTACTGGGGTTTGAACTCAAGGCTAGACAGGCACTCTACTGCTTGGGCCACTCCACCAGCCTAGCACTCGCAATTCTTATTCTGAAAAGCACTTCTAAAATTCAAAGCTTAGTGCTTATTAGTGCTTAATCTAATTTCTTTCAAAACAAATTTATTACCCACTTTGTCTACTGGTTTGTAAACAAACATAAGCCTTCCAGGATTCACACAAAGTTTTCACCAACCCAAAATGTACTCTGAACTTTGCAAATACTCAACCACTAAGCACAGTGCACTAATCAGGCTGCAAGATGAAGGATACTTTGCATATTTTTTATGACTTCTACTTATGTCCATTTTCCTACAAAGTATACAATGACCCAAGTAAAAGCAATCAGTTACGCTTCAGAAAAATCAGAACTAAAAGATCAAAGTCAGTAGTATTCCTATGTAAAATGATCTGGAAGCTAAGTTATTAGAGTATACATTCAGCTCTCAACTGCCAAACCAAAATCACATGCAGCAACCACTTAAGACTTTTTTTTTTTTTAAAACCATAATACACACTTAAGAGGTGAAGACAGCAAGGAGAATTCTCTAACTCCTACTACTCACAGTAACCTCTGAAAATGGTGAAATTTAAAGCAGAAATCAGTGGTGTGTTTCCTGCTCCAGAATTACTACACCTTGAGAAAAAGAAGTGTTTGAGATTGGATAGGCTATACAATCCTCCATGAAGAACATCACTCCTGTTTTTTAAAGTGCTAGTTAACAACTATCCTTTTACAACACAAACTCAGCTCATACTCATCAAGCTTGAACTAGGATGCCAATCAACTGTCTACCTCTACAAAAAACAAGTACTACCAAAGAACATCTGATGAAGGACTTTAAGTACAGAAAGATCAAAGAGCTGAAAGGTGAAACAACAGAGTCAGACACAACAGTCTATCAAGCAACTTAAAGACAAATACAAGGGCCTATAGCCCATCTGCTACTCACAGGAGTCAACATGCAATGGACAACCTAGGTTTCTAAACCCCAAGTTTTTTTTGGTAACTAAAGTTTTGTGAGAAAAATTTCTAAATTGTTTATTGAGTTTAAAAGAAAAAAACCAAAAACCAACAGATAAAGTACAATCCCTTATCCTCGATTCCAATATTCAAAAAGTTTTTTTTTGTGAGATTCTGGCAACAAAACCATACTTGATGATACATTAACAATCTATTGATTCCTTTAATATAAATATTTATATTATGCTTCAGAAAATGCTCCAGAGTCTGCAAGGAGTGTTATGTAGTATATGCCACACACACCGTTTTCTAAAATCCAAAAAATTCTGAATTCCGAAACACATGTGGTTCCTGCAATGGTTTGTCTTCTTTTTTTTTTCTTTTTTGGCAGTACTTGGGTTTGAACTTAGGGCCTCACTCACCCTTGCTAGGCAGACACTCTACCATTTGAGTCACTCCACCAGTCCCCTAATGGTTTCTAATTGTGGGTTTATATTTCCTTTTCTTTGTATGTCCAAAGAACAATTTAAAATCATCAGAGATGATGTTACATTATTAAAAACTATCAATTAAGGAATATGTTCCATCTTTAGCTAAACTCATTTTTCCAGCTAATCCAGAAATTTGGTAATGATAACTATCATTACAAATTGGGCGAATGATATTATTACATTTTTTAATTATTTTTTTCCATGTCACTAGTCCATTAATTCAAAAATAACTTAAACCACATAAGCCAAAAACAAAGCCTACAATAGTCACAGAGGGAGGCATGTGAATTGTATATACAATGCTCATAAATTAGTAAAAAGGAGCTTTCATAAACCACTGAGTAATAATAAATATTCTTAATTTCATGTCTTGGAAAGAAAATTCTGAAATCTCAAAGTCTTGTCCAACACAAAATAATGAAATAGGTTAAATCAGACTGTTCAGAAAACGTAGTGATCACCCTGCTATGGTTACTTCTATGGACATGACATTCTCATGTGAATTCTTCCCAGGTATATTAAGGTAAGTAGAAAGGCACTCTGACCTGGCTAGTCTGCCAATAATCTTTAAAGTTCTTTTAGATGACTATCAGATCTACCAAGAAGGTAGTGAGAAAACTACCTTCTGTAGGAGGCTTATGCCTGTTGAAGACTGCTTCGCGCTCGCTGTTCACTGGGTTTTTACTAGTGTGAGGCTGGCTAGGGGTTCATGTTTTTCAAAGTACCTCTACGATGGCTAGTAGAATTTAGTTTTAAAATTACTCAGGAAGGTAAGGATAGCGTACACTTGATTTCTCATGCCACTGTAGTCTCTTGGTTAATGAGGTAGGATCAGCCCTTATTTTAACATATGGCAGGTCAGGTCTTTCAGTTTTTTTTTGTAAACTATAGCCCAAGTCTGAGTTTAATCCTTAAGTACTATGGCTTTCTATGGTGAGGAATATTTTGAAACAATCAAATATAGTTATCAATATATTTTATTGATAGCTATCAATATATTTTATATACTGTGGCTATTAACACCAACAACCCTTGTAAGGTAAAATATAGAACAGAAAAGAAAGGATATTTGGAAAAATTTGCTTTGTTAGACATCAAACCTGGATTATTTTTTGGTGGTACTTGGGTTTGATCTCAGGGTCTTTGTTTGCTAGGCAGGTGCTCTACCACTTGAGCCACGCCCCAGTCTTTTCTGCTTTCATTACTTTTCATAGGGTCTTATTTTTAAGCCCATGTTGGCCTGTACTGCAATTCTCCTACATCAGTTATAGCTGGAATGACAGGCATGCACCACCACAGTCAGATTTTTATTGGTTGAGATGAGGCCTTGTGAACTTTTTGCTTGGGCTGGCCTCTAATGATCTCCCCATTGCCAAGTCCCAAAATAGCTAGGATTATAGGTGTGAGCCACTGCACTTGGCCCCCAAATTGCATTTCTTTTCTTTTTGTGGAGGAATGAGGTATAGTACTGGGTCTGAACTCAGAGCTTCTATCCCTTGAGCCACACCGCCAGTCTGAACCTGGATTTCTTATAAGTATCATTCTAGAAAAGACTATACATTGTAAGGATGGGTTTAACAGACTCCAAGTCAATTGTAAGCATCAAGAACCTGCATTTTTATATTATAAAATAGAAAGTTAAAAAAAATTAACTTTCAGGAGGTTTACACATTACTTCAAGGTTATATTTCTTAAGCTGTATTCTTTACCATGTGTGTTCTTAATACCATGGCTATCATTTCTCCTATCAATTGTTTCTCATTATTGAAAAGGTTTGCCTTTTATGGCATACTGCACCTTTAAGCACAATACATAATGTACAAGTATCAGTTCTTGAAAGGGTAGAATTTTCTGTGCAATAATATTGTGACTCCAATTGGCTAACAATTAAAAAATGCATGTAAACAGCACACGGTGACCCACTTTTCTTATGTCCTTTGTATTGCTGTGATTTAGCCTTTTTCTTCTGTTTTGATGAAGCCGATTGGCTTTCTCTTGATGCTGAAAAATAAAAGGGAAAACTTACTATATAATTACTTACAACAGCAGATATAACTTAGATGAACTATCTTTTAAGGCCATTATGCTTATAAAAAAGTACATGATGCTTTAAAAATAAGGGCATACTTATCCCTATAAAACCATGAGGCTCAATACCAGACGGAGTCCATCAGTTACTCAATAATACTTATATACCAATACATTTTTAGCCTGTAATTTTAAAATTATTGAAAAAGTTAAGTCTAGTTCAATTTGGTGACTGCTGTGTTTCCACAATCACTATGTAAGTGACTACTGAGTTCACACTGCCATGGTACACATGGTCTGATTTTGTGATATTGCTGAGTCTTAATATCTTACCTGGCAACCAATCAGACATAGGTATATTGTTGTCCTGTGAGCTCACAAGATGGTTTATATGAGACAGTCCTCTGAAGAATTGTTGATTTTACAAAAGGACACCTTTTCTGTATACCAACTTACACTGTGATGCTGGAGGCTGTAGCTGATATCCAGTTAACTGACACCACCCTACAGGATAGAGGTCAGGGGACTCACAGTCTACCCACTGATCATATTCTTCTTCCCATCCATCAAAATGAATCCTCAAGAGACGATGAATAATTCGAGTAACTGTGGCTACACATATTAAACGTGGCTCCATGAGATCTACAGCTTCTAATTTCATTCCTACACGAAATCCATGATTTGGTACATCCTGACACAGAGAAGCAAAACAGTAACACTGGTTTAACAGAAGAATGTATGTCTACTACCATCATCAAAAAAAAAGCAAAAAGTGAAGCAATGTAGCCAATTAAGAGTTTAAATCAAAAGTCCCCAGTAATTCTTTAAAGAAAGTATTCACATTCATTAAGTATTTGTTTATATCAATCCTCATTAAGAAATTCTAGTAAGGCAAACACATTTTGACCAACAATGATTTGTATCTGTATGTCATCATTATTGTGCTGTCACTTATTAATGTTTTTGTTTTCTTGCAGTGTTGGGGATCAAATTCAGGGCCTTGCAATGCCAGCAAATGTTCTACCAATGAACTACATTCCCAAACCTCATGCTACCATTTAAATTTACCTTATTAAACAGTTTTACTGGTGCTGCAATGGAGCCAGTTTCCCTGAGGTAGTCAAACCATTTAAAAGGAAGTTTTGTGTAACCTAAAAACCAAAACCAGTTTAAAATTAGCGTAATAGTAAAATGCAAATCAAAAGAAACTGAGCACATGGAATCTGACTTTAGATGCTATGGTAAACTTCTAACTATGCTCTAATACTGCTGAGTGTAACGATTACTCCATGCTCTTCCTTTCCACACACATGTGCACGTACTTACCCTGTTCTGGTGCAAAAGTGACTCTCTTCTTCTCTGCCTATTACAAGAAGACTTTTGCTTTTGTGGCACTGGAGATCAAACCCAGGGCCTCATGCTGCTAGGTAAAAACTCTACTGCTGAGGTACAACCTAGCCCCAGACTTTTGCCTTTTTTTCCTTGGTGGGAAAGGAGTTTGAACTCAGAACATTGTACATGCGAAGCAGGTGCTCTACCGCTTGAGTCATGCCTCCTGTCCATTTTGCTGTAGTTATTTTGGAGATTGGGGGGGGGGTCTCACAAATTATTTGCACAGGCTGGTCTTGAACCTTGGCCCTCTCAATCTCAGCCTCCCAAATAGCTAGGATTAGGTGTGAATCATCAGTGCTCAGTGACTTTTGCTTTTTTAATCCTAGGATTTTGAACAGTCTAGCACTTAACACAATAGATTGATATTTTTCTTTTTCTGAAAGAAAACTAGCAAGACAATACTATTTTAATAAAACTTTGTTTTCTTCCTTCTCTCCCATCTTAGACAAAAACTAGCTAAGCCATGAGTTTGAGACATATCTCCTTTTAAAAAGTCCTACAGAAGTCTAGAGAGGAAAATTTCTTTTTTTCAAAGGCTAAACATCCATTTAAGAAAGTTTATATATACAGTAGCTTGTTGTGATCACTGTCATAGTAAGATTTGAGAATACTGAGTCACACTGTAAAATGCACAGATGTTTAATAAAGAATTCCAGTTTAATTTATTAAAAGCTAGCTAGAATACAATGCTTTGTTTTTAGGGTACTCCACAGCACTTGTGTGTGTATATCTATACACACATACTGTATATGTAATCCACGGGACGGAAAAACATAGGGCTGAGTTAAATGTTAACAGATACCATGTAAAAAGAAAGCAAGAATAAAAATCCAATGTTTATACAAGGAGGAAGTACCTCTAGGTGGAGTAAGTTCAATCATGTTAATTTCACAGAACCCGACAGGGAAAATAGAAGGAGAGGTTGCATGATAACAGAACCAGTCAGATCCATCTGCTGCTTCTGAGCCATCGATCCCAATCATCAGGAATCCATCAGCTAGCACCTTTTAAGTTAAGAGAATCAAAAGTACTTGAAGTTAGATACCACCATTACAAAAAAATACTTCATTATGTCTACTGATCAACATTCACACCTTTCTTTCTGCATTTCACCTTCAACCCTTACGTTTCTTTGTGATTTTAGTTCTTTCCTTTGTCTTGATGACTTCAAGCATAGCCAGTGCTTCAATGATCAACTTCCAAGACAATGATTCCTAGAGCTTTATAAGGAGACTGCTTTCCTTCTGGAGTCCCAGCCTGCACTTTACTGAATGCTGAACATGTCCTCTGAGAGTCACTCTAAGGCCTGAAGCCCACAGCAACTTCTTTACTCTTTCAGAGGCAACCAGCCACCAGGTCCTACAACTCTACCTCAAACATCCAGGACCTTATTTTTTTTGGTGGGATTGAGGTTTGAACTCAGGGCTTAGTGATTTTGAGGCAGGCCCTCCGTACTGTTTGAGCCAGCCTCCAGCCAAAACTTACTTTTGTTCTATAAGACTGTAACCTTTTTAGAGTTCAAACCAAATAGAACATTCCAAATATTTATTATTCTCTGAATACTGCTTGATATTCTGCTCAATGGATTATTTTGTTCATCATTTTAAATCCCCAGAAGAAAGTATGTTATGATGCCATTAATTCTCAAACCCAATTGACTGTCAGAATCACTTAGAGAACTCTTTCTTTTCTGAAACCAATCTAGATTTCTGGGCAACATTTCTTGTGATTCTAATTACACAGGTCTTCAGGTGGTAATGGGAATCTGTATGTTAAGCCTTAGTACCAAAAAACCAAAACCAAACCAAACCAAACAAACAAAAAGTCATGTAATTTGGTCACTAGTCAGGTAAACAGGAAGGAACAGGGTTTGGAGCCAATCAGTGTATTTTGTGTTGTGTTGTAGTGTCCCTCTCTCTTACTTACAGCTTCCAGTATAACTAGGATTACAGGTGGCCACCACTACAATTGGCTTGTTGGTTGAGATGGAGGTCTCACTAACTCTTTGCCCGTGCTACATTCAAACTATAACCTTCCCAATCTTCACTTACTGAGTAGCTGGGATTACAGCAGAAAACCACCACCATGCCCAGCCTTAAATCAACAGTTCGTTTTTTTTGGGCTGTAGTGGGGTTTGAACTTGGGGTCTTGTGCTTGCTAGGCAGAAACTCTTATCACTTGAGTCCTTTATGCTTTAGTATTTTGTTTTGGGTCTCACATCTATACCTGGGCTGTGTTCCCAAGTAGCTAGGATTACAGGTTTGAGCCACTGCACCTGGCAGACCAGTGCTTCTTAACCATGGCTGTACCAGAGTATAACTGGTGCCTTTAAAAAATGTCAAGGCTGAGGTCAAAAATTAGACTGACTAAATAAATAAGAAAGGTTCAATCATCTATAAGTTCCCCAGAGAAGCCTGATGCTTACTGAAAATTGAGAATCCCTAGATATTTTCCTAGGAGAAGTTGCATATGAGAGACAAAAAGAGAAAAGAAGAAATAAAACACTACCAAAAGGAAGAAAAACCATAAAACAGAAACACAGGAAACTGAAAGTTACAATTCTGTGTTGGAGAAATTTTGACTGCGAAGAAACTTAAAAGGTTCTTCCTCTACACTTAGGATATACTTCCACAACTAAAGGCTGCAGACTCAAAATGACTATCTTGATACAAGCCACATATAAAAAGATCTGATGCCAGTGGCCTGTGGCTTACGCCTATAATTCTAGCTACTCATGAGGCAGAGAGCAAGAGGATCACGATTCAAAGCCAGCCCAGGCAAATAGTTTCACAGGACCCTTTCTCCAAAAACCCTTCACAAAAATAGGGCTGGTGGAGTGGCTCAAGGTGTAGGCCCTGAGTTCAAGCTTGAGTACCCCAAAAAGAAAAAAAGATCTGACAATATAATTCAAATTTATTTAGCAACTTCCAGTAACTTTCTCCTCAGTGAAGTTCCATTTTATATCAAAACGAATATGCTAAGGACCTCCTCCTATTCACTTAGGTTCAGTCCCTAAAGCTGCATTTCTGTACTTTAAAACATGTTCTCTTACCTTTCTGATGGTTGCGACACATATTGTAGAAAGATTTAATGGGTCTATAGCTTCTAATTTCATTCCTTCCTTGAACCACTCCCCACTTTGGTCTACTTCTTTAACCTAAAGAATTATATGAAAGCACAGAAACTGTTATAAATACCATTTTAATAATTAAAATGATACCAACTTGAAAAGGCTTACCAGACACCTGCTCCTACCTACCTAATATTGCAACTCAAACTTCATTAGGGAATAGAGAAAATTCAGACAAATAGAATTCAAGAATAATTATAAAGATATGTGATACCTATGAATTAAAAGGTCTTAATCCTTTCAAGTAGACATATGTAATTGTGATTTCCATAATTTTAGGAAAAAAAAACCCCACAACCCTCTTTCAAACCTAATTTACAAATGAGGGTTCTTATAAAAACTTCTTACCTTAGCAAATAAATGTGGTGGTGTATCAAAATGTCCATCCTGTTTCTTTGTAATATCTACAAGGAAAAGTTACATACTAATCTGTCAGCATTTGTGAGAAGACCAAAACCCATGTTTCTTTGAAGGCTTCAAACTCATAAGATACATAATACTCTAAAATATGGCAAAAAGACATGTCTTCTACATGTAAAATTAGTAGTCTTTTCTCTCTTCAGAGTACATGTGCATATGCTGTTGAATACATTTCAGTTATGTAGAATGCTGAAATTCCAGAGAGAACTATAACTATAGAAGCATATTTTAATGTGTCTAGTATTAAGTCTAATCACATTTAATCTTGCCATTTTGATTAAAATTGAGTAGGAAGATTATCTATCATTCTAGCTTTCAAATGGGCTGGAAAAGAAAAGAGTAAGAAAACAGTGGTCGTTGAGACCAAAGTGATTATTATTTTTTTGTGGTGCTGGGGGTCAATCTGTGACCTCATGTACAAAATGTGTGTATTTAAAAACTGACAACACGCAGAAGGAACATTAAGGAATAAGGATACAAATTTGTAAACCTTAGTTAGGATAAGATAAGCAGCCCAAACAACTAGAATGCTATTTTGGTCTATGCTATTCTATAAAGAAAAATAAACAAGTAGTAAGATTCATTTGCACTGATACCTTCAGTAGGAATTTATGTGATAGCTGCTTACCAGATCTTTTGAATCGATGACCTATGCTTCGAGACCAACCAATGTGGTGGATTAAGGGGCTGTGCATATGGCACCAGAAGTCATCCGTTCTATCTTCACTCTCTTCATACACTAGCCTTAATCTTCCTCCAATTACACTTTCCACCACTGCCACTCGTGTTCGACATAAATGCCTTTTATCAACCACTTCTACTCTCATGCAAGGTTTGAATGGGTACTGCATGCTCTCTGAAACCTTCAAACAAAAGCAGACAAAACCTGTTGGGAATTCATAACAGGCTTACAAGTAAGTTTTATACTCTACTGTCAAAAATACTGAATGCAGTTAGTATTTAACACAAATCATTTAGTTCATGAAGTAATAATGCCTTAAAATCGAAGTTACTCTTTCTTAAGAGCTCTTCAGAACTTTTTACCTTTTGTGAGAAATCAGGAGGAAGTGTTTTGGCACCAGTAAGTCTTTTTACAAGAAAAGCTTTCCAGTTTGTATACTTATGTTGAATAGCTAAAACAAAACAAACAATCAGTTATACTTTAGCAGAAAGTAGACTTGCTTCATAATTATTTGTTTAAAATAAAGAAAACAAGCCGGGTGTCATCGAATCATGCCTGTAATTATAGCTGCTCAGATTGCGGGGTGGGCAGGGGGTGGGGGGCAAAAACAGGGAGAGAGAGAACAAGTGTATGTTTTGCTGACACAAAAGTTACTTGATATAAAAAAGTATCATTTTAATTTCTGTATTACCTAAAGGTTACTATGTGTGAGATAGCATTAAGGCATATATATTTCAAGTTACAGGAAGGGTAAATAACCTACTTACTTCTAGGAGGAACAAGAGGTTTTCCACTGGCTGCACACCAACCAACGGGATGGATATCAGAACCACATATATTGCACCAGAAGTCCAGACCAGAGTCATTTTCAAATCCTTCATATCTTAAAAGGGCATTGTATCCTGAAACAAACAAACCCATCACCAATCAGACAATAAAGCTAAAGGAAGTGACAGAGCAGTAGTAGTGGTCGTTTAGCACTAGCATGCATCTGCAAAAGAACCACCTGCAGTCTGTTAGACAGAGGTGGCCCTACTCCAGGGATTTACATTTAGCAGATACTGGGTGGGGCTGGGAATCTGCATTTATAACAAATCCCTTGGTGATGCTTTTCCTCCTGGTCTGTGGACCAAACTGAAAATCAAAGCAATTAGTTCAACTATTTTCAGAGCATGGGCTTCCTTCTTTGAATGCCCTTCAGTTTTACCCATAAGTTTTCAAATTCTAGAGAAAAAAAAAAAAATCTCAGTAAATATTGGGGTGGAAATAGCTCTAACTAGACTGCATAGTTTTAAAAGTAAAAGAGAAGGTATGGATATTAATAAAACCCTGTCAGTCACAGAAATCCAGGTAAAGTATTCAGCTGATGAAGTGGCCAATTACTCCTGGAAATTTGGATCTGTCTACTTCAAGAATCTAAATTTTGGGGTAGAGGCGAGGCTCATGTGGTCAAGTGCCTACCTAGCAAGCACAAGGCCCTGAGTTCAAATTCCAGTATTGCCAAAAAACCCCTCCAAAGCAAAGCTAAAATTCTCTATTTTATTTGAAAATACTAAAGTTCAAATAAAAGTATGTGAAATCATAGACAAATATATACTATTTATAATTTAGCTAACCTTATGTTAATAGGTTGTTCTCCCCACTCTCCCTGCCCACCCAAGTTTTAGGGATTGAACTTGGGGCCTCATGCTTGCTAGGCTAGCTTTCTACTACTGGAGTCATGTCCCCAGTCCCAGGATAGGGTTTAATATAAGGACTTTAGTGGAATAACAAAGGGCTAATAAATTTGTATTTCAGGTAAGTCACCAAGTTCACTTAGCGTTTTCTTGCACTATTATCTATGATAAAAATACACAGCACTAAGCCTTTATTTTTAAAATTCAGTAATTCATAGGACAACTTATGAGTTTGCTAATTATTACTGAACTCTAGTCTAAGATTAGCATGTTTACTTCTAGTGAATGAAAAGAAAACATAATGCACAATAGAAAAAAATAGACAAAATAGAAATGTAAAATCAGAAATGAAATGGAAGTTAGAAATAATTCTTGTACATTAAAGGCATTTATCTTTAGAGTTATTTAAATGCAACTGACTTAAACAATCTGGGACAGAAGCAATATGCTGTTATTTTAAGCTGTTTTGAGGGTACTGGGGTTTGAACTCAGGGCTTCACACTTGCTAGGTAGGCACTCTACTGCTTGAGTCTTATTTCCAGCCCAATATCTTATTATTTTAAATTACAGTGTAAAGATTAAGGAAAAGGTGTGGTATTGAACTGGGTAAAGGTGCAGCTCATCAATAGCTGTAAATGGTTGACCATCTTGATCTTTTAAGGACAAAGAGGCCATTAAAGATGTCTGAATAGAAAAATGGAATTAAAATTATCTTTAGGGGTTTGACGATGTAGCTCAGTGGTAGAGGGCTTGCCTAGCATGTGCAATGCCCTGGATTCAATCTCCAGGACTGAAAAAAAAAATTTGTTTTAGGCAAATTAAGTCTATCAGTAGTATACAACAGAACAGTATGCAGATTGTTTTAGGGAGACTGGAAAAGACTAGAAAGCACAGAATGAGTCAGATCTCTTCTTACAATAGTTACCTAACAATATTCTTCCTATTTGAGTGGCTGCCCCTCCTCTAAAGTAATATAGTACCCTCTACTGTACCATTCACTGAGTACCTTGTCATATAAAGCCTGGGGCAGTGTTCAACGTTTGACAGATGGTATGCCCACTGAAAAACCATGTCTTACACTTCTGCACATCAGTTGTCCATAATATCTAACGTAGTAGATTCCCAACAAATGTACTTCATGAGCTGTAAACTCACAAGGCCTGGACATAATGTAGGGCATGGGAATGAAGATCAAGGAAGAATCCAAAATGTCTGATACTACCAATAATTGTTTACTTTTAGTAGCATGGATTTTTTTTTTTTTTTTTAAGTACCTCAAGTTTTGTTACTTTTCAAATCATCTACCTACACGATCAACTGGAAAACTGTATTATGGCCTGCTGATCTGGCCTATGCCAGATTTTTTTTTTCAGTTGGCCTGGAATCTAAAATTTTTTTTCACATTTTAGGTGATGTTACTAGGTTTGAACTCAGAGCCTTGGAGGAATGATATTCTGTAAGATGTGACAATTACATGAAATTCAAATTTCAGTGTTCCTAAATAAAATTCTACTAGAACACAGTCATGTCCATTTATTTATGAATTGCTACAGATGCCTGAATGCTGTAATTGTATAGATAAGTGGTTGTGATAGATTGTATGGGCCACAAAGCTGAAAATATTGTTTGGCTTTTTATGGAAAAAAAATTACCAACTCCTACTGTATATCATATCATTTATTTTGCAATACTTGTAAAATTGATAAACATGCTTTTAAAAGAAAGGTTGTAAGTATCATTGGCATTTTCTAGGAAATCATCATGCATGCTTTTTACCTGCTAATTTTATAATTCCAGCAATCCAGAAGACTTTGGTAGGTAAACTGCAATCTGTATTGGGAACTTCAACTCTCACATTTTCTGAGATATCACCCCAGCAGGTCCCCATAGGCGCCTGTCATGCAAAAATTATTAAATTACTGTCTTAACAACATAAAGCCTAAAACACGTCTTTCAAAATTAAGCATTACCATCAATAATGGAAATATTAAAGGAAAAATGTAACTTTATTCATTTTTCTCTAAAAATATAATTGTTATTCACCCTTGCACAGAATTTTATTTGGAAAAAAACCTGTGTCAGGATTAAACTCAAGATGAAGACAGAATTTGCAGATATTAGATCCATGTCAATTTCAAAACTCAACAGACTCAACACAAGATTTAAGCAATAATGATTCTAAAAGCTAAATTACAAATTTGATGAATTTCACAAGATAAAGCTGACTTGAGAGGCTTAGTAGTTTTAATGTGTCCTAAATGCATAAACCTAACCCTTAATTTTTTTTTTTTTTCTTTTCTGGTGGGACTGGAGTTTGAACTCAGGGCAGGTGCTCTATTACTTGAGTCACACCTGTAGTCCATTTTGCTGTGGTTATTTTGGAGATGGGGTCTTGAAAAATATTTGCCCAGACTAGCCTTGAACCTTGACCCTGCTGATCTCAGCCTCCCAAGTAAACAGAATTACAGGCATGAGCCACTGGCATCCAGCTAACTAACTCTTAATTTTAAAAGATCTGGTCAAAGAGCAAACAGGAAAATAATTCCAGTCAGCAGTGAGGTTCCCAACAACATGAAAAGGAGAAATAAAGCTTAGCTGTATTTTCAACTAAAGATAAACTTAAGAATGTAAATACAGTCTCAGTAAGATATGAGGGAAAAGCACTGTATAGTTCAAAAGGTGGAGGTGAAGATATTTTGGAAATGAGTACCATAGTAAGTTGTTGAATAATTTATTACTTCAAAATTTCTCTTGTAGGAATTACTATAAAGAGAAAACTTTCAATGTTTGAACTGGTAATCGATAGCCTCCACACCAAGTAATTAAGATGGAGACTCAGAAAACCGACTCAATGAATATCACACCAAGGGATTTTCCAAACATTCAATTCAAAATTACCATTTCTATTACATCTTAATCCTTAAACCGCAAGAAAATGCACATCACCTGGAGTTAATGCAATAGTAAATTAAATCAACTGAACTTAGAAATACACATAAATGCTGATAATACTAAAGAGTCTTTGTGCCCCTGGGTAATCAGTTATTCATTAAATATAACTTAAAACCTAAGACATAAACAAAAGTTAGGCGAGGTTATAAAAAAACTGGTAATATGAATGCATCAGGAAAAAATGAAACAGCATCAAACCTTAAAGAAACAAAGACATTTAAGAATTACAAGAAATAGCCAATTTGTACAATAGGTAAATGTCTTCCACGGAAGGTCCCTCCCTCAGGTGAATGCTAACCTAACAGGAGGGTTCACCTAAAGCAGTATTCACCTCCTATCCTTATAGTAATTTATGGAATTTCTGAAGGAGAGGAGAGAATGCCAAGTAATACTGAACTAAGGCAAGTCTAGAAACCAAACACAGCCAAATTAATGGCTATGCTTTTGAGTAGCAAGCAATGTTATAACCTCAATAACTTGCAGACATGCCCTATCTCAACTATTTGTGATTATAGGAGGGAACACATACCTACCTCCCTGAGTTGTGTGTGCATAAATAAATAAAAATATTAATGACTCCCTTTCTTTTTTTCAAATAGGAAGCTCAGACCCTTTAGGTTCTGCTATCTCCCCCTATATCATTCTAGACTATAGGGCCATCCCTATTGCCAGCAGATACAACCAGAAAAGGAGAAGCTGGGAGGAAAACAGGTAACAAGGACTAAGCTAATTACTAGTACAAAGACCACATACTTATTTCTGTGAGAATGACCAATTGAGCAGACAGATGAAGTTAAGTACACATACAAAACTGCATTAAACTGAAGTAGGGGATCTATTCCTCTTTGCTTGACTGCCAAATCTGAGAATTAGGTTTAATTTTAGAGATGAGGCATAGTTGTGCTGACAAGCTGGAGGATGGATGGGCATGTTGCTAAGTGAATTTGGCACACAGGATGCCCTTTAGAGCTAGATATGATAATCTGTCATTCTGACTTTTCTTTTTTTTTAAGCCTTAGCATTTATTTGGACTACTTTTTAGTCATATTTTATTAAAGGAATACAATTCAATACATTCACTTAAAAAATAAATGTAATGTTCACTTGATTGGGAGATCTTAGATTTTAGTCCCTACAGTCTGGATTGGTATAGGAGAAAGTAGCAGAAAGTGACATTTGTTCTTGCCTGTAAGGTTGTGGTTCTGCTAGGCCCTCTTAAACCAATCCATATGGTTCACTCTGAGAAAAAAAATGAAGAAAGAAAAACATCAACAAGAAAGAGCACCAGTCAAAACACAGTATGTGCTCAATATGTTGAAAGAAGATGATTTCATACACACATCTGCCCTTTTTGTTTAAAATCAATATTCTTAAGTGTAGAAGACTAAATGACCCAGGGCTTGATAGCCATCTTCATCCAAGTCATCAGTCTTCTCTTGCTGGCAGGAGGGATACCTCTGAAAGTCTGGATTGGCATAGCATGAACTAGCAGAACCATCATTTACAGGTAACAACAAATTTACCTTCCAGACTCAGGACGCGAGGTCCACTCAGGCTCCTCCCAAACAAGGAAGCTCTGCTCCACCACTTCCTGCTCCAGGGCCACTCGTGAGAGCTATCTGGGAGCGACTCTCCTTCCCTGCAAGGTAAGCTGTCATCAGGTCCTGCAGGACATGGCCAATTTCGAATGCTGAGGGGTCCCCAACACAAAAAATATGACAACTCCACCTGACTAAGAAAATAACTGGTCAGGATGTCTTACATTATGCACTCCAAAAACATTTCCAGATAGTCCAGTAGCCCACATGGCTAGTATACAGATACTCAGGGAGCATACACGATGCTTTCAAGCAGAAATAAAGATTTCCCTCCACAGAGCTGCCAACCTATAACTTTTGATAACCACATACAGTCTTTAATATTAATAAGAGTTTAAGTGTGCAGAGATTGGACCTGAAGTTGCATACAGGAAACCAGGAATGAATTTATGCCCAAGATGTGGCAAGTATATAAAAAGCCACCAATAACATACTTTAAGACTAACAAGTGTAAGGTTACTAAAATGCATCTAGTAGAGAAAGGTGAAATATTATTTGGCCAAAAAACAGGAGAAAACATTACAGAAAATTAACAAGAAATTAGAATTCCTACATGCTACTTATTGAAATTGGCAAGTAGCAGAAATGGAATACACTGTTCCCACCTTCTCCAGAAAGTCCTTTCATCTTTCAATCTGATACTAGAATCTGTATCTATTTTTTTTTGGTATCAGAGAGTATATCAGAGTATTAAGGAGAGTATAAAAGGAAAGCGGAAGGCTTGGGAGTAAAAGGTTAAGGATAAGAAAATGCTATGTGTATGTAAAAAGAGACAGGAAGCCGAGGCCACTAATTTGAAAGGCATAAAACAGTCCACATTTAAAAAAATGTATTAAACCAATATTGTTCAAGCTTAGTTGATCACAAAAGAAAAACAAAAACCATTTCAGGAACAGACCAAAATTAAGACAATAATCTACATTTATTTAGGCTTTTGTTTGGCTTTTTTGAGACAGGGTTTCCCTGTGTAGCTTGGACTAGCCTTTAATTCTTGATCTCTGTCTCCTGAATGCTGGGATTACAGGTGTGTACCACTATGCTTTGCTAAAATTTTTAAAAATTAGGTTTTCTTTAAAACATAAGATAGGATGATGTCCATCATATGAGAGTTCACTGCTTTCCTACTTCATGACAATACTCTTAATACCTAATTCAGATAGAGCACTGACAAGCGCCAGAAGCTAAATTTTATTATCATTGAAAAGAAGTTTTGCAATCTGGTATGATATACCAAAGATTCTATCTTTAGTTATAATGGAGGTGAAATCATATTGTTAATTTTCAAGTTTTAAGAGTTTTATGTGTCAAAAACTTGGAGCAAAAATAACCAAGAAGTAATTTTAGTTGAAAAATACTATTAATAAGCATATCTGACAAAAACATGAGTTTTACTATACACAGCTAATTGCAGATATGTTAAGAAAAGACATTTTGTTTTTCTGTCCTTAAAACCAAAAAAATTATGGATAATATATGTTGCAAAGAAATACAGATTAACTTTACCAAAGCTGACATTCAGGTCAGACACAAAACAAGGGAAACAGAATATACTATGTTAAGTAATACCAGGTATGCCTATAGAGGCAGAATGAAAATTATGATAAACTCAGCTTTAAAGTCATGGTGCAGCCAGATGCACTGGTACACGCCTATAATTCCAGCACTCGGGAGGGTTAAGGCAGAAGCATCAAGAGTTCTAGACAGCCAGAGCAGCACAGCAAATTCAAGGCCAGCCTGGGCTACATAGCCAGATCTGTCTCAAAAAAATCTTAGGAGACATGTTTATTAAGGGATTTTTTTCCAAGAGAGAAAAAAGGATAATTACACTTTGGTTTTAGCAATGATGTATCAACAAGCCATAAGAGTATAAGTTCACATAGTAAACAGAAGAATTCCATAAATATGTAACTGAAATAATATGCTTTAGCATTTATGTCATTTTATGTACATTTGTTATTAGTGCATTCTGGTTTGCACAGTAATACCTAGAAAAGAAATACTTGGTTTTATATGGCAAACAATGAGAAGTAGGAAACCTTCAATTGAAAAGAATTCAGTCTTTTAGAAATAAACTAAATGTTCTGAATTCACACAAATTGACTAGAGGCTCCCATGGTTCAGAAATAAACTACTGAGCTGGGCATGGTGGTACATGCTTGTAATCCCAACATGTGGGAGGCTGAGGCAGGAGGATCTAGTTTCGGGCCAACGTGAGTTACACAGCAAGACCTTTTCTCTCCACCCCCCCACCCCACGACACTAGTAGAAAAAAGAAATTTGTGATTTTTCATGAATATTTATAGTGTACCTAAATGGCACATGGTACTGTATTTATATTTTGGAGATTTTTTCTAGTTCATAGATTATGGATACTGCTTGTAGGGACTTAACAACAACAACAATAAAAAACTAAATGGAAAAAAAGACTTTAAATTATGAAAAGAAGCAACAGTTTCTTCATTTAAAAAGGGATGGATGGGCTAGTGGAATGGCTCAAATAGCAGAGTGCTTGTCTGGTAGGAGGCCATGAATTCAAATCCCAGTACTGCCAAAAAAAAAAAAAAAAAAAAAAAGAGATGGACTAGGTTAGGCTAAAGCATCATAAAGATGCCTCCAGCTTTGTGAACACATGCTTCAAGATTAATTAAAAGTGGCATTACCTAATTCATTGGTTTCTAACCCAGGGATTGCTAAGAAAAGAGAAGTCAAGGATTAGAGACCAAGGCTTTGCCCTGCAGTGGCTGTGTTCTGTGGTCTGAGTCATGTTTTATTAGGGATTTAGGGATTATGAGAATTATGCTTCAAGAAAAGGTCTGAAAAACTACTACCTCAATAAAATGAATGATAAATATATAATAATCATAAAATGTAGATTTTGAAGTAGATATATTAAAGGACAACGGGGATTCAATTTCCACTGTATTTTTTTTGTTGTTGTTGTTAAAGTCACTTTTGAGCTGGACGTTGGTGGCTCACACTTGTAATCTTAGTTATGTGGGAGGCTTGATCAGTTCAAGGCCAGTCTGGGCAAATCATTCTCAAGACCCCATCTCCAAAATAACCAAAGCAAAATGGACTGACAGTGTGGCTCAAGCCATAGAGCATCTGCTTTACAAGTGTCAAGCCCTGAGTTCAAATCCCCTTCCCACCAAAAAGAAAAAAAAAGTCCTTTTTGTACTTAGGTAACCACTCTGCATAGTTAGAGCAATTATGAGTTTTATGATATACTTTGCAGAAAACTCGTTCCCAGAATTTAAAGATACATGGAAAGAAGAATTCTATATTGAAATTGTAATTCTAGTACTAATCACAATAATACCTGAGTGCTGAGAAAGAGAAAGAATCTGGGATCCTTATTGCAGAAGAGGAAGGGTTAAGTTAAAGAAGCTACGCTGTCATAACTCTGACTCTGCCCCCATGCCAATTCCTATTTCAGTCATACCAGCTCTGCTTCCACCTTACACACTGTGTATGTACTTGTAAGTTATGTTTGGAAAAGGCTCCTACCCTGTGTTCAAGAGGGTGAGCCAGCAGACCTAGAGTCTAGAGGAAGGAGCCCTATAGATGAACCAGTGTCAGAGCAGCATCAAGTCTTACAAGACTAATAATTCAAGGTAGGGTCTTCTGTAACCAGCAGCTCCTGAAAATATACTTCCTAAAGCCAAACCCACCAACTATCCTTAGTGACAAAGAAAACTATTGCGGGGAGAGAAGCATGAAGAGTAATTCTAAAGGACAAAATTGAGTTTAGCATGAGGTCTGACCTCTTAAATGGCTCTGAATGAAGACGGTGATTAAGGTAACAAAGCAAACTCACTGTACTAAGACATAGTTAGGAATTACTAGTATAAAGCTTTTTCTATTTGAAAAGGAGAAGACAGTAAAGAAAGGTTAAGTGGAACAGTAAAGTACGGCAATCACGTATTTCAGAGAGAGATGCCTCATTTCTGAGTGAGAAGGAGGAGGTTCGATATTGTCACTATTAATAACAGATCAGGTTAACTATTCTATTCTACACGATAGGACATCCTATTCTTTACTTGAACTTGAGGTTAACTATAAAATACACAAATTTTCTCCTTGTAAAAAAACTAAAACATTTTGAGATTAACATTCCTTTGATTATCACTTCCAATCCTACTCTTCTAACTCTCCTTTGCAAGTAACCACAATTCTCAACTTAGTATTTAGTCTTTTAGTCCCTTTTCAAGTAAATTTTTTTTGTTTGGTTTTTTAACCTGTAAAAAGAGAGTAGTAGTAATCTCATGGGAGAAGAACTGAGGAGAACTGAGAGGCAGCACTTTCTAGTTTCTCAGGAAGCTGGAAGGAGTTAATACCTACTGCAGGACCACAGCAAAATTCTAAATTTAAGCAGAACAAGAGGAAATTATACTTATTTTAAGGGTGGAATTACCAGCCGTATGATAGAATATCTTGATTCTAAAAGGGCAAAGCTGAAAGTAAAATCAATCTAATTATTTGTAATATTTTCTTATAAGAACTTTAATATGGTATAACTGGTCAAAGATACAACAGGAGATCTGAAGAGCGATGAAATCCATTCAGAAGAGACAACAGACAAATGTTTCAGGGATCTAAGATGAATAGTTACTACAAGGAGAACACCATCTAATTTTGGGCTTTCTTAGCACTTAGAAAGCAATACCCTCAATAGGAGAGTTCAAGGTCTACCTTATAGTTCTCAATCTATCTCTCTGTTTTTTTTTGCAGTGCTGGGAACAGAATCTAGGGTGTTGCTCATGTTGGGCAGGTGCTTTTCCCTGTAGTTCTCTTTAAAATGGCTGGTGCCATGTATATATTTCACTAAGGTGGGCACTACTAGCAACAGCACAACAAAATAAATCACTCACTTTACACTGAGATGAGCAACTAGCATTGTTTTAGACAGCATCCCACCGACTAAGGGCTTAATATTTGTACTTTCAAGAAAGGAAAAAAGCAATGAATCTACTGGGCTTTAATTTCTATTTCAACAAGTGAACTAATACGCTTGATTTTGATCAAAATCCTTTACTAGCCATGGATGAGTGGAAATTCATTTGGAAATTAACCACACTCAATTTCATTCACATGCTGCTGTTTAAAAATAAAGTCCTAAATCAACAAAGTGTAAACAGAAGTTCATTATTTTCTAAATTTAATTATTTATGTATATAATTTTTATGTAAATTAAACTTAGTCAAGATAAAAATATTGGGCAGACAAAGTAAAACAAAAGAACTTGTCAACAGATACATTTTTGACATTCTGAATTTCTTCAGATGTTCTGAAAAGAACATTTTTTAAATGGCTTTCAATGACAGATCACTTATTTCAGTTCACATTTATCACTAAGATTTCCTTCTTTTGTGTGTGTGTATTGCTTAACGTTTGTAGACAAAAACAAAACTGGCAGATTCTTTTCTGAATTATCTAGGCAAATCACAAAAACTTACATAACATACATGATGCATGATTTCTATTAGCAGTTGAGCTATATGACAGTCAATATGCAACTATTTCTGACAGAAAAATCAGTAATTTTATACTGTTCAATTTAATATGAAAATTGGATGAGACCAGTACTTTTCCCTGTTTAAAAATCATTCTGAATTGCAATCTTTTTATTTTTATATTTATTTTTGCAGCGCAGTGGATAGAACATAGGGTTTTACACATTCTAGGCAAGTGCTCTACCACTGAACTACATCCCTAGCCCTCAAACTACAATTTCTTTATGGAAAGATTTTACTTGTAAAATGTACGGAAGTATTTTTAGCTATTAAGTATAATAACTAATAAAAGAGAAACATTTTCATTTTATGGTATAACGCAAACACCTTCTAAGATAAGACACTCAGGGGTTACTGTACCTTCAGATTTAAACAGTGGCTAAGCATTTCAAAATAAGGTGAGAAATTCCATACTCACATGTTTAAAACAGGTAACGGGAGCTGCTATAAAGCTATTGCTGTTGATGTAGTTACCCCAGCTGAAACCTTCCATGGAAACTGCTGCAATAAAATAAATTGCAGTATTACTGTAATTCTCAAAAAAGAAGACTGTTACTGTCACAATATGGAAGAAAACAAAATTAATTTATGCCCTTTAAAGAAAGTTTTCATTTTTCTGTAAGACTGAAGAACTTAGCTAAATAACGTGAGCTTTTAGCTCCTATCACATAGGTCTTTACTTCGGACCAGATGTGTTTCAGATTTCAAAGTTTCCTAGATTTTGAAAAACTTGCATAGACTTTATTGGTACTCATAAAGTTTCAAAGTTTGGCTTTCAGATTTCTTGTATTTTTGCAGAGCTGGGGATCAAACCTATGGTCTTGTGCATGCTAGGCAAGTGCTCTATCATTGACCTACATCTTCAATCCAGATTTCAGATTTTCTGATTAGGAATGCCCCACCTGTACATTAGATCAAGGGCAAACACAACAATGGGATTGGACTTTGAGCACATGATAAAAGCGAGAGCACACAAGGGAGGGGTGAGGATAGGTAAGACACCTAAAAAATTAGCTAGCATTTGTTGGCCTCAACGCAGAGAAACTAAAGCAGATACCTTAAAAGCAACTGAGGCCAATAGGAGAAGGGGACCAGGAACTAGAGAAAAGGTTAGATCAAAAAGAATTAACCTAGAAGGTAACACCCACGCACAGGAAATCAATGTGAGTCAACGCCCTGTATAGCTATCCTTATCTCAACCAGCAAAAACCCTTGTTCCTTCCTATTATTGCTTATACTCTCTCTACAACAAAATTAGAAATAAGGGCAAAATAGTTTCTGCTGGGTATTGAGGGGTGGGGGGGAGAGGGAGAGGGTGGAGTGGGTGGTAAGGGAGGGGGTGGGGGCAGGGGGGAGAAATGACCCAAGCCTTGTATGCACATATGAATAATAAAAGAAAAAAAAAAAAAGGAATGCCCCACCTGTATTTGCAGACTTTATTTTTTTTTTGGAGGTACTAGGGGTTGAAACTCAGGACCTTGTGCTTGCAAGGCAGTTACTCTACCACTTAAGATACGCTGCCTAGCCCTGTTTTTTGAGACAAGGTCTCACTATGTAGGCCAGGCTGGCCTTGAATTTGAGATTATCCTGCCTCAGCCTCCTGAGGCTTGGTATTATAAGTATGCACAACAATGCCTGGCTTTTTTTTTTTTTTTTTAATGGTACTGGGGTTTGAACTCAAAGCCTCCCACTTGCTAGGCAGGTCCTCTTCTTGAGCCACAACCTGGCTTTTTTGTTGTTCTTTGACCAGGGGTCTTGCTATGTAGCCCACACTGGTCCCAAACTCCTAGGGTCAAGAGACTGTCCTGTCTTAGACTCTGGAGTAGCAAGCACTATACATGCTAACCCCAGGCTGATCTTACCAGGATTCTAAGTTATTTTACATCCTACTTATCTTTTCGCCTTTATGCTCCCATGAAGACTCTTCTATTAGAAACAGTCCCTTGTTACTCTCCTCTCCTTAATCCTTTGATGTCTGCTAAATGCCTTATTTTTTAAAATCCATTATTACCATAATGCTTTCTATTATCCACAGCATAGGGTAGAAGTACATAAAAAATAATTTAACTGAATCAAATCATATTAAGGAGACTGCCACTAGCACTTTGCTTGTATATGTAATCACTGCCTTCTAGAATAATTTACTGAAACCAAAACTTTCACCAGGATGCCTAGTCATAATGTGCTAACAGCACAGAAACAGCTAAATGAAACATAACCCAAGTTTAAAATGTCAATAACTTAAAACTAGTAATCAATATTAAGTATTTCACCTGTCACATTCACCAGTTATTACCTGCTTTTGTCTTTGCTTGATTTTGCAAGGTAGCTTGATACTGAGCATAAGCAGCTAGTTTAGCAACTAAAGGTTGTTTCTGAAGAACTTTTGCTTTCTTTGTTGGAGGCTTACCCTGAAACAAGAAGAGTTAAGTAAATAGGATTCTTTTTCATCCCCCCACCACCAAAATTTAACATGGTTGCATACTACTCATTTTGCTTAATATCAAGGGTTTAGAAAATTATTAAAGCAGAGGAAACACACAAGGAATTTTAACATGAGAAATTTTTACTGGAGTTCCACTATAATGTAGATATCTAACATGGGCAGCAGAGTTGGCACAGACTGAAAAAGCAATATGCAAATTAATATGTTAATAAAAATTATATCCCATAATGTTAAAATACAGGCTGTGGTGGGTATCTGACTTCTTCTTACAGTAGACCAGAGCCAGTGTTATTCACTCATGCAGGTTGCCAAGCATTGCTATTTATATGGTAAGATAATTTAATGTTCAAAGAGCAAGTGACTGAGGTTTATACCTTTAGTGCTAATGCAAAAGATCAATGACAAAATGATCATGGCCAAATTCACACTGTGACAAACTGCCATCCATTTGGAAACAGACCACTGCTCAGGATCTTTAGGTACTGTCTATCTGAAATATAGAAATACATCTAAGTGATGTATTTCCTTAATTTGGGGGGATTTAAATAACCCTTTCAGTGCTATGTAATGATCACAGTAAGTTAAATGAGAAAAGGAAAAATGTGACCATCCAATAAAAGATATTACAAAAATCAGTTATATAATGCCTTTAGGAAACTGTTTATGTGGTATAATACTAACAAGTGAGCGAGTCAAGACTGCAGTCATTTTTGTAGGCACTAATATACATTTAAAGCAAGATGATTTTCTTTCTATTCCATGAATGTTTTCAAAGAGATTAGTTGGATTAACCAAATGGCACATCAAATGGGTTGCTCTCAAAAGTACAAGGCCGTGGGTTTGATACCCAGCACCACAAATAAACAATCCCCCCAACAAAACAACTACAACAAAAAACCCTAAACAAATAAAAATACAGAGCAAGGATGATGGAAAAGTAAAGCCAAAGAGTAAATCATTTCCCCTTAAATGTTTGAAAATTCCACCTGGTATTAACTCAAAAGGAAACAGAGGTGGGGGAGATGGCTTCATTTTCTATACATAGCAAGGTGTTCATTGTATTTATGCTTGTTTAGAAAGGGTAAGTCTTTGCAATTTACTTATATAATTTATATTTTCTTCTGGACAGCATGCTTTGTTCATTTAAAACATTTATTCAATTTTATAAAACCGGGCTTCATGAATTTCCTAAAAATGTAGGACATAAAGCAGTAACTGACTAGTTGGGAAGAGGTAGAGTGCAGTGAATCACAATCGAATGACAGATAAATGGTGAAAGCCGTAGAAATAACAGATATAAAGAAAAGAAGGTTTCTGTACCGTTACCTGAAGTCTGGCCAAAATGCTTGCCTTCTTGGAGTTTGACGAGTAACTTCTCGAACACGAAACGCTGCAGAAACGTTTTGTTTTAGAGTAAAAAGCATCTCGCACGCCAACCATCCCACACATCTCACAGGTGGCTAATTAGTAAAATAAAAACACTGGTGTTACCACCATGCAATAAAATCAAATTTTATCTATCATTTTGATAATTTCTTCAACTATCTATTGGTTTTTATTTAAAAATCTGCCTTGACTGAGGCCAATAGGAGAAGGGGACCAGGAACTAGAGAAAAGGTTAGATCAAGAAGAATTAACCTAAAAGGTAACACACATGCACAGGAAATCAGTGAGAGTCAACTCCCTGTATAGCTATCCTTATCTCAACTAGCAAAAACCCTTGTTCCTTCCTATTACTGATTATACTTTCTCTTCAACAAAACTAGAGATAAGGGCAAAATAGTTTCTGCCTGGTATTAAGGGGGTTGGGGGGAAAGGAAGGGGGCGGTGGGTGGTAAGGGAGGGGGTGGGGGGAGAAATGACCCAAACATTGTATGCACATATGAATAAAAAAAAAAAGCAGCCAAAAAAAAAAAAATCTGCCTTGAAAAGTTCTCTTTCTTATACAAACGATAGAGAAGCAGTAACACAAATCGCAGCAAAAGCCTTTAAAATACTGCAAAGGTTGAAACCTACAAAGAGCTAATGCTTGGAAAATCTATAAGGACAATACAAAAAATTTTTAAAGTTATGTCCAGAGGACAGGAAGGATGGGATAGGCTCAAAGTTTGAGGTAGGAGCTCTATTATGAATCAGTGATGGCATAAAACAGTATGACTTTTATTTGTATATATTTTTGGTGGTACCAGGGCTTGAACTCAGGGCCTTGTGGCTTGCTAGGCAGGTGTTCTACCATTTGGGCCACACTCCATCATCCCGATGACTTTTGACACCTATTACATAGTAGACAACAATCTGAAAGGTAGAATTATGAGACATGGTAAAGAACTGAGTTAATGTTTCCATCCTAATAGTGAAACTGAAAAGACATTAAGCATAACTAGTACTTATAAATCTATGAAAATCATGAGAAATAAGAAAAAGTGCCAGAAGATTAGAGATGGGTGTCTAATGAGAGATAAAACCAAATGGTTTCTTATTAAAAATTCTAGAACAGACAGTTCATGACCACCTTGACACAAAGTTATGTTCCCTGGGCAGGACATGATGATTTATACCTATAATCCCTGCTACTTGGGCTGGGGACATTGCTCAAGGGGTAGAGCACCTACCTAGCAAACTCAAGGCCCCGAGCTTAAACCCCAGCATTACCATCCCCCATTCTCCCTCCCCTCCAAAAAAAAGAGAAAAAAAAAGAACTGTAACCTCAAAGAATCCTGATCAAACTACAATTTTCTTGACTAGGATGCAAACTTCATCAGGACAGGAGCCTTATTTTGTGCTTTCACCTCTTTACTTTTGAATTTAGAACAGATGGTAGCATTTATAAAGCACCAATAAGCCTTTCCTTTGGTGATAAGGTCATCAAACTGGTATCATTACCAAACCACAGCAAGAATTAGCATATTTGATAAAATATGTGAACCATGACAGAAATTTCAGTGGAATACAAGACAACTAGGTAGGCTTTCTTCGTATGTGTGATAGTGGGGATTTAACTATGGCAAGCATTCTCCCACTTAGTTACATCTCTGATCTCCCTAGGTAGGTTTTAATTGGAAGGATAACCAAACCTAGTGGCCTTTTGGTGAAGAGAGGGTCTCGCTATATAGCTCAGGCTAAACTTGGAACTTGAGATCTTCCTGCCTTAGCCTCCTAAGTACTTGGATTACAGGTATGAGCCAACATACCTGGCTCTACTAGGTCTTGATAAATGATGTGCAAGGCTTTTTTTGTTTGTTTTTGATGTGGGGTCTTGCTATGTAGCTTAGGCTGGTCTTTAACTCATGATTTTCCTGCCTTACTTAGCCTCTCAAGTCCTGGGATTATAGTACTGCACCACCATGCCTAGATAAATGTAGTTTTTTGATATGGTCTGCAGGCCCTGCAGTACCAGGGCCTATGGTATTCAACTTTTTCATCAAAAGACTAGAATAGGACTAACACAGCAGGATTACCAAATCTATAAATTATATTAAAATTAGAAGATTAGATGACACAGCCTTTAACATCAGATGACAGAATTAACAATCAAAAAAATTTAACACTGAAAGTTAGTAAGAAAAAGGCCTCAAAGAGAGATTCAAAGACCTATACTTTTGGCTTTAAGAAATTAACTACAAAAGCACAAGACTGATTTAAATTGGTTTATGTGGTAAACATCTAAGAAAAATTAGTTATTTGAAATTCAGTATTATTAAAAAAAAAAAAAGCTAGAGCAATTTTAGTAGCTGGAATGGAAACTCAGTGTTCAGAAAAGACAGTAAGGGCTGAACTATTTGATGCCCTAATCACACAGGTGATCAGCCATTTGCGTGGCGAGTTTTCCAGCCTCTGGAACTGTTAAGTGATAAAATCAGGACAGTGCCAGGCAAATCGGGAGGCACTATTATCCCACTACTATGTAATAACCTGAACATTCCCTGAATTAAGTGACCAAGATACTAGTCAATTAAGTCATTTTGATACTTAGAGAAATGGCTGGAGTGCAACTGCGGCTATTTGATGTGTCACAGACACAGTAGAGTGAGTGTTCCGGTATGAAGAGGTGTCATTATAACAAAGATTATGATTGTATTGTATATCTTTATGTTTTTAAAAATTGCAACCTTCTTCATTAAAGTTAATTCTGAACATTTCTTTCCTCCCTCCCTACATCCCTTTCTTCTTCCTTTCTTATTTTTGCTGTGCTAGGGATGGACACTTGCATGCTAGGCACTTTATCACTGAGTTATAACCCCAACCCTTTGTGCAGGTTTAAAAGCAACATTAAAATCAAAAGACAAGGGCTGGCAGAGTGGTGGTAGAATGGTAAAGTGGTAGAATTCCTGTCTAACAAGCATAAGGACCTGAGTTCAAACCTCATTACCACCACAAAAAAAGACAAAAGTCAGAGCAGGAAAATTTTGGTTCAATGTAAAGAATATTCTTGTAATTAGATATACTAATAAAATGAAACTGCTTTCTAGGTCAGAGACTATCTTATCATTGGAAATGTTTAAAAGAAAACTTCTTATAAGGAATTGTCATAGAGAAAGCCCTACGTGAACATCTGTAAGTGTATGATCCTTCATACTTTCAGTTATATATGGATTTATTATCTATTGAATTTATGCCCACCTTAAGTTTCTCTATAGCCTTTTGCTTTTTGTTTTGCTCTACTTGCATTCCACTAGAAGAAGGGAGGCAAAAATAAAGAGATCAAATACAAACTCAGTGATCTTATCTGAAACTGTGTCAGGTTCTTTTAAAGACTAGCTTAAAAATTTGAGGGCCAGGGACTGAGGGCATGGCTTAAGAGGCAGAGCACAAATGCAAGTGTTCAAACCCTATTATCGCAAAAAGAACAAATAAAGAAAGAAAACTTCTAGAGCCAAATCCAGCAGAGGCAGAGATGGGAGGATTGTGACCCAAGGCTGGCCCCGGGAAAATTATTCATAAAGTAACTTCAGCAAAAAAGTACTGGGGGTATGGCTCAAGTAGTAGAGTACGAGGTCCTGAGTTCAAACCCTAGTACTGCAAAAACAACAACTGAATGAAAATACACCCTGAAACAGTCATATAACAGGTAAAAGCTACAAATACTCACCCATGCCAGATTTACCATCTGGGTATGTGTAGACCTGTCCATTGTTTTTGATAATTGGGAGACTGGAAGGTAAAGGAGCAACTTCTTCTTCACTCTCTTCAGAGCTGGAGCTGCTACTTGTGTCCTCACTGCAGCTATCATAGCCGTCAAACATCCCGAACGAGTCTCTTCTTTTCCTTTTGGACTGTGAAGAATGTTCTGTCTTAGAAGTAGAAGAAACCAGTAACATAAGATACAAGACTCATGTATATTCCCTTTAAAAGACCTTAGCACAAATTCTGGTAGGAGCAACTTGACAAAAGAAAAATCTTGGTGCTGAGAAATAATTTTATCTTAGAATGAAAAGTTAAACATCTGTGGCAAAATGGAGTCCTCTAGTTTTACGAGGACTATGTTAGCCAATAATAATAATAATAATGGTGGAAAGAACACTGAAACTTAAGACAGGATTAAACAAGTTTTGCCTTAAACTAGTATGTCACTTTTCTATAAAAAAAAGATTAATTTTGTAAAAACTGTAGTGCAGGACTGGTGGAGTGGCTCAAGTGGTAAGAGCGCCTATCTAGCAAGTGTGAGGCTGAGTTCAAACCCTAGTACTGCCAAAAAAAAAAAAAAAAATCCTAATTAGCAATACATATAAATAGATGACTTCATAATTTGCCTTTTATCTTTAAAATTCTAAATTTCTATATTGGTTCAGAGCATCTGGAAGATATAGACTTTTAAAAAGGTCACTAAGGGTTCTAAAAAGATTAATGGAGAATTTTAAATTTTTAGTTATTAACTATTTCAAAAAATATAGGGTAACATTTCTATATGTTTAACCCTACTTTACTTTTTAAACATAAAGCAATAGCTCAAAAGAGCCTAGGTGGCACACACTTGCAATCACAGCACTAAGGAAACTGAGGCAGGAAGAGTCAAGTTCAAAGCCAGCCATAGCTACAGTGAGTTTGAGGCCAACCTGAACTACATAGTGAGATCTTGTCTCAAAAAAGCAAAAACAAACAAAAAAAAGCCCCAAAGCACAAATGTACTTTATCATCTTTAGGGAATGTTAGCACATATACTCCAAAAGGTGTTCCTTTATTCAAGCCACAAAACAAAATAAACAAACAAAAACTAAATACTGCTACTGCCAACTTTCCCCAAAATAAATTCTAAAACTTCAAGTTTGGTAAGAAGAAAGTCAAAGTAAGAAATAAGAGAAAAAAACCTGATAGTATCTGAAATAAAAAAAAAATAAATAAAAGCAAACCACCACAAAGCGTGCAGCAAGTTGTAACTATGGAGATGAACACTACCAATGAGAGACTCTTTAGGGTTTGGCACCTATCCTTATTCTTTTGCATCAGTTGATATTTTTTGTATCTTAAACTTCACACATCATTTCTTTACAGGCTAGCCTAACTTCTTTCTGGTACTCAATGGTCAGTAACAAAGCTGAATTCTGTTGCAATTTGCATTGAGATGAGAATCTGATTTTTATTTGTAGCAGAACTAACTATGAAAGCAACAAAATTGGTTTCTAGGTTTTTTTTTTTTTTTTAATCTTTTGAGACAAGATCTGGCTATGTTGCCCAGGCTGGCTTCAGACTTGCAATCCTCCTGCTTCAATTTCCAGAGTAGCAGGGATTACAGATGAGTACCAGTGTGTCCAATTCTAAAACTGGTGTCTCAGTGCATACATCATATTTCAAAAAAAATACTGATTTTTATGAGGTGCCTTTAAGAGGCTCAACAAACGTTCCAATAGTGTTGCCACAATTCCCAACCCTTTTTAGTATTCTTTTAGAAAGTTTGGTGCTGCCAAAAGATAACCAGAGCAAAATGGACTGGAGATGTGGCTCGAGTTGAAGAGTACCTGCTCTGCAGGTGTGAAGTCCTGTGTTCAAATTCCAGTCCTAACAAAAAAAACAAAAACAAAAGCCCAGAATTCCTTTAGGCCCACTTTTTTTTTTTTTTTTTTGGTGGTACTGGGGTTTGAACTCAGGGCTTTATGCATGCTAGGCAGGTGCTCTACCACTTGAACCAGTCCGCCAGCCCCAGACCCAATTTTAAAGACAAAAAGTGTATTGTTCGTGGTCAGTTTTGAATTATTCCCCATCTTTCCCCCAACAGTTTTCCCTAGCTTGATTATCCATCTTATTCAGCAGATTTGGATTGGAGTAACTTTGGAATGACAGCGCACTGAAAGGCCAGCATAGTCAGTGTCCAGTCCAAGTGGTGTAGATAAGGTCAGATGAGGATGTAAATGGCCAGACCATGAGGGTCTTTGCGGGCTAGCTTATATTTTTCCCTGAAGACATTATAAACTATTTAGCATAGTGCCTGCTCTATACACTTCACAAACACTGGCTAGACTCTTAATAAATTCATATAGCCCACTTCCATGTAGTGAAGACTTTATGTGCCCTTTTAAACCCATAGATTTCATATATGCTTGTCTATTATACTATATAGCCAGCTTGCTTATTAACTAATGCATGTTTATTGACCCTTAAATGTCAACCCAGAATATCTTATTCTAACTCTACTTTCAGAGAATAGAATTTTGAAATTTCAGGGGATCAAATGATTACAAACAGCTTAGTTTATTTAATTTTTTAAAAACTACCATGGTTGAATGTATGCATGAAATTTTCCTTACTTCAAGATCATTTGGAGCCTCTTACATGCTTATGAACATTATGGCTATTTAAGAGGTATATGGTATGCTTTTCCAATTTATCTTAAAGAACTAATGTTCTAGAGAAATGCTTTCTGCCCTTTCCCCTCACATACTCAGAAAAGATAATACATGAGCATAAGCCCCTGGAGGTACGCAGTCTGAGACCTTTGACTGTCCCAAGTATTGTAGGAATATCTTTTTTTTGGTGGTACTGGAGTTTGAACTAAGGGCCTTGTTGTCTACTGCTTAGGCCACACCTCCAGCCCTTTTTGCTTTGGCTATTTTTAAGATACGGTCACGCTTTTTACCCAGGCAGGTCTGGACCACAATTCCCATTATAGCTGGGATGATAGGCATGATCCACCATGACCAGTTTTTTTCCACTGAGATGGGAGTCTCACAAACATTTTTGCCCAGGCTGACCTGGAACTGTGATCTGTCCTACTGATCTCTGCCTCCCATGTAGCTTGGGATGACAGGTTCATGCCAATGCACCCAGCCAATGTTGATATGGTGAGATCTCAGCTTCCCAAGTAGCTAGGATTGTAGGTGTGGGCCACTGGTGACTGGCTTGGAAGGAGGATTTTGACATAATCTATATCACATTTTTTTTGGAAGGTATAGTCTACTTAGGGAGCACTATTCTCCAAATATCTGTTCTTACATTAGGATGGGACAGTAGTGAGCTATATATGTAATCGATAGATCCTATGTAAAACTTACCATCTATTTACTAAAGAACTTAGCTGGAAACTCTTGCACCACACTAAAACCCCTGAGGGAAGCTGCAACTTCAATGAAAAGTTAAAATACCCTGACTCCATGCAAAGGGACTTACAAAGGAGTCTTTTCTCCTTCGTAATTCTCCTTGGTGGAGAATTTTCTGGGATTTTGTAATCATAGGCCAGCCCTCATGAGTAAGTCTGAGGTTGTAATTTACCTTCCTGTCTTGCTCAGAAAATTCTGAGCAAGAAATTAAAGTGGTTGCTACTACTGTCCCTTGACATCAAACAAGGAATTCTAAATTGTGTCTGACCTTTCAGCATTCCCCTATCAAATATGACTACATAATCAAATACTGAACAACAAGCAATCTACCATAGGCAAGTATAAGCAGAAATAGATTAAGAATGTTAAATAATTTAGACACTGGAAATGCCAGAAAGGGAATATAAAAGTCACACATGAATTGCTTAAGAGGAAATAAAAATATTGAAAAATGCACAAAAGTATATAAAAAGATTAAGATTTAATATACCTAAAAATAGAGAAATGGTGAGTGTTAAGAAAACACTTGAAACACAGCAAAGAGAAACAGGAAATGGAAAATAAGAGGATAAAATATACAGATCTAATAAATGTACAATACTAATTTCCTTTTACTTAAAAAAATTTAATCTTAGGCCAGGGGGGTGGCACACGTCTGTAATCACAGATACTTGGGAGGTGGAGGTCGGAGTGCAGACTGCCTTCCAAGGCCAGCCCAGGCAAAAGTGAGAGATTCTATCTGAAAAACAAAGTAAAAGCAAAAGGACTGGGGTTGGGGGTAAGGCTCGAATGGTAGAATGCTTGTGTAGAAAGCCTGGGGTTCTGAGTTCAATCCCCCAGTATTGCTAATTTTTTAAATGTATTTTTAAAACTGATGCATAAACATAAAAACTGTATGTATTACTGGGGTACCAAGCAATGTTTCAATACATGTGCACATTATGTAATCAGATTAAGCATATCTATCTCCTCAAACATTGATCACTTCTTTATGGTGTGAGCATTCAAAATATTTTAGCCTTTTGAAATACACAGTACATTCACCAAAGTCACCTCACTGAGCAACAGTATGCTGGAACTTCTTTTCTTATCTAACTGTAACTTAGAAACCACTTATCAAACTTTCTCCATCCATTTGAGAATAAGAATTTTTTTTGGTGGTACTGGAGTTTGAACTCAGGGCCTTACACTTGCTAGGCAGGCACACCTGAGCAATACTTCCAGACTGAAAATAAGAATTGTTTTTTTTTTTTTTTTTTTTTTTGGGCAGTATTAGGGTTTGAACTCAGAGCCTACACCTTGAGTCACTCCACCAGCCCTTTTTTGTGATGGATTTTTACGAGATAGGGTCTCATGAACTATTTGCCTGGAGCTGGCTTCAAACCATGATCCTCCTGATCTCTGCCTCCTGAGTAGTTAGGATTACAGGCATGAGTCACTGGTAAATGGTTGAAAATAATAATCTTAAAAGACAGACTATGGAGAACAGAGAAAGATGATATTGAATGAGATACTGGGTGAGCATTTTAAAGAAAAGAGAACATGAATTCAGGGATTAAGCAGAACAAAAAGATTCCTACAACTTTTACAGAGTCCCAGTCAAACTACAGAACAGAGAATTAAAATGTAACCAATCACAACAGCAGAGCTTGGTAGTCAACAAGCCCACCTCAGGCACATGCAAGTCTAATCAACTGCTTTCTATCTAATCATCAAAAATGACTAGACAGGTAAGGATCTCTGATTTGACAAAGACTCTTAAG